TATCACCAGATCTTTCTTCAGCGGGGCCATGAGGTGAGTTTGAACTGCCAGACTTTTTTTTTTTTTTAAATTATTTTTTTTTTGTGTGTGTGTACCATCAAATTGGATCTGACTGGTACAGGAGGAGATTGTCCCTCCTTCTCCAGCAGAGCATCTAGTGAATTTGAACCGCACACCTCTGGGATAACAGGGCAGCTTCTTGCCATTAGGCCACCAGAGCTCCACCAGTTTGAACTGCCAGACTTTTGGTTATCAGTGAGTGCTTAACCAGTTCAGCACAAGGGCACCTACTGACCAGCTGGTTAGATAAATTACATGTGTGACTGCACACGGACAGACACATTTTTCTATTTGAAGAGGAGGATCTTAAAAACAACACAAGTCACTACTCACTGTCATTGGGGTTGAACCGTGAGCGTGAGTGGCCTCCCAGAGTAGGCCTGCCCTGCAGGGTTTCCAAGGAGGCCACTTTTTATGGGCACAGATGATCACGTCGTTCTTGGAGGAGCAGCTAATGGGTTTGAACCACTGACCTTTTCAACCTGCAGGCAAGAGCTTTAACTATTGCATAACCAGGGCAATATGTATTTACCCTATTAAATTTTTTAAAAAAGTCTTCTTTTAAAAAAGAAATATTTATCTTCTTTTAAAAAAATTGTGTGAGTCTTTGCACTGAGTTTCTTCAGGAGGAGAGGACCTGAGAAATGATTTTTCCTACCCCTTTCTTCAGAAGCTACATCTTCCTGGTTCAGCAGCAGCCCATGTGCCAACCCCCTCAGCCCACACCGTGGCCCTGTCTCAGCAGTGGCTGAAGGTGGCCTTTCTCCTGCAAGGCTGAGCTTCTGTCTTGCTTGCCTTTATCTGCCCAAATGAGCTGGGCTGCTTTTTCCTCTTCCTCTCTGGCTCTCAGCATCTCCTCACAATCTACCCCCTCCAGTAATTTCAGGACAACTCTAATCATCTCTGCCTCGACCCTCTACCCTCCCTTGGCTCTGGGAAGTCTGAGAAAGGAGGCAAATCCAGACAGGAGGTTGTGGCTTGTCAATTGCAGGGATCATGCAGGCCTTTCAAATCCTTTGTGCTTTTGCAGGACTGAGAAATGCCCGGGGGCTCCAGACATCAGGTGGAAGGCGGGTAAAAGCAAGGGGAGAGGAGGAGATGTAGGTTCGCTTAAAAGGGCAGAGTTCTGCTGTTCACACTGTTGTTGTTGAGTTGTCCTGACACCTCATGGGGTAACAAATGACAGGAGAGGGAGGAATTATCTCTCTTATCTCCTTCAGAAAGAACCAAAGCAAGAGCCTGCTACTCTGCCCAACAAAATGGTAAAAACAAATTCAAGGTCAAAGACTATTTGTGATGCTTAGCTTCAGTTGCCTTAACTCTAGACTCAGGGTGACTCTGAAGGAAGTAAAGGCACAAGGAGCCTTTGGGAACATTTCTTCTCTGGATGGAACTTCTCTTTCTCAAGGAGTTTTTGTGGCGCAATTGTTAGAACTGGGTTGCTGACTGAAAGGTTGGCGGTTCAAAACGATGCAGCAGTTAAGAACTGACAGCCTTCTCCTGTAAAGATGACATCCTAAGAAAATCCACAGGGCAGTTGTATACTGTCTCAGATCATTTTGACAGCACCAACATCCCTAAGTCTAGATGCTGGTATATTCAATCCTAAATCCATTTTCTCTATTTGTACTACTCCAGTAGAATTCCTTTTTGGAACAATGAGAGAATCTCTGCCTGCCGTGCAGGAGACCTGGGTTGGATTCCTGACCATAAACCCTTGGTGGCAGCTACTACCCATCTATCACTGGAAGCTTTCATGACTTATAATGAATGCTGAGCTGTTTCAGAGGAACTTCCAGATGGAGACAGACAAGGAAGAAAGGCCTGGCAATCAACTTCTGAAAACTATGAATCACATTTGGTCCAATTCCCCTATGTATGGGGTTCCCGTGAGTCAGAGACCAACTCGATAGCAGGAATGTAATACAGTGAATTTTCTCCTACTGTAGCCTCTTGCCCTATCAACACACACCCATTACTCTAGTAGTGACTATTCAATTACTCCAGTAGTAATTACACAAATTAGTCTAAGTAATCTACTCAATCTTTGTGGAATCTTTGTGGAATCTCCCCTGATCCCTGCCTTCAGGAAGCTTCTACTTCTCCTGCTCTAACAAGAATCTAGGAGGAAATTAGAAGAGGAAGAGGCTTCACTGGAAAATACAGATCAACAATTCAATATGTTAATGTCATTTGCAGATATAGTGAGGCACAGAAGGCCAGATGATCAATATATGATTTTGTTGTTGTTATGTGCCGTCGAGTCGCTTGCGACTCATAGCGACCCTATGTACAACAGCCCTAAACTCCGCTCTGTCCTGTGCCAATCGCACTGTCTCTGACACTCCCATCCCAGTTATCCCAGTCACTGAATCAATCCACCTCATAGAGGGCCTTCCCCTCCTGTGCTGTCCCTCCACCCTCCCAAGCATGATGTCCCTCTCCAAGGACCGGTCTCTCCTCACAACATGTCCAAAGTATGTTAGACGGAGCCTCAGAATCCTTGCCTCCAAGGAGCCACCCGGTTTAACCCTTTCCAGGACAAATCTGTTTGTTTTCCTAGCAGTCCATGGTATTCTCAATACTCTTCTCCAGCACCACAGCTCAAAGGCATCAATTCTCCTTCTATCCTCCTTGGTCATTGTCCAACTCTCCGATAGATGATAGATGATATATGATAGATGGTATATATTTTTTTTTAAAACCCCAACAACTCTGGGAGCATACTCTATAGGGAGTTAATTGCTTCTAACCCACAGGAGACACCTTTCTGGCAGTTTGAATCCACCAGTGGAAGAAAGATGAGCAGTCTTCTATATATTTATTCTTCTTTCATCCCTCCATTCCTTAGAATCTCTTCCACTTTTTCAAATTAAAAAAAAAGGAAAGAAAGAAATGAATTCAACTATGGCACCTAGAACCCTATTTCTTTTCATCTGCTAAGTATACCCACAGGCTACAGACAGACTGAGGCTGCAGGCTCGGTCTCCAGTGCACCAGGTGGTGTGGTCTAGCGTGAGCTTGCTCCGCCTTTAGAATGAAAGGAACCGGAAGTTTGGGAAAGTAGCTGCTCCTGGAGTAACTATAGGGGTACGAGGGTGCTCATTTACTTATTAACAAACAAAAACTAACCCAGAGATGATACTACATGTACTTTGCTATAATAAAAATGGAATGTAACTCAGTCTACCAGCAATAAAAATAGAATGCAACTAAAACTACCATCAATAAAGATAGAAGGCACAAAGATCATCATCATTTGAAAACAACTCCCTGCCTTCCAGTCCTGCTGATTCATGGCAGATTCTAACTCCCGGAAACCCTCCACTGTGTTTCTGAGATTGGATTCGCAATGGGAGAAAACTGCCCGTTTTTTCCCCCAAGAAGCCACTGGTGGATTTGAACTGCCAGAGAGGGACAGCGTTTGGGTTAGCGGTTCATCATGCTATGGCCCTCACCACGAGAGCTCAGCGATTAATGCCATGCCTCAAAATCATTTACATTTCTAAACTAAGAAAATGGAAGAAGCAGTGCCTTTCAATGCCAATCCATTTGATCCAAAATACGGCTTTCCTTTTCTGTTACTCAGCCTATGTTGTTGTTGCTGTTAGGTGCCATCGAGTGGAGCAAGACTCACAGCGACCCTATGAACAAAAGCTCTGAACCCACCCAGTCTGTACTAGAAGATACTTTGGGAGCTCTGGTGACTTAGTGGGTAAGGACTTGTGCTGCCAACCCAAAGGTGGTTGCTGTGTGCCGTCGAGTCAGAACCAACTCACAGCCGACCCTCCAGTGGGTTTTCAGAGGCAGCAAATTGCAAGGGAGGAGACTGTCCATCCTTCTTCCCCAGAGCAACTAACTGGTAGATTAGAATCACGTGCCTTTGGGATTACAATGCTTATCATTAAGCCACCAGGTGGTTCCAATCCAGCAGCTTCTCCTGGAGAGAAAAATGGGCCACCTCCCTCCTAGGCAATTTACAGTTTTTGAAAATCTGCTGAAGGATCAGTTATGAGTCAGTTTTGACTGAACAGCACATACCAACCACATACAACAAAAAAGAACATTCCCCTGAACTTATCGAAGTTCACTAGTAATAAAAAATAATGTGATTTTAAAAAGCCCCCCCTCCAATAAAATGCTGTATTATTTTACACCGTGTTTATTCTCTGCCATTTTTTAATAGCAGGGCTGTTAATATTATCATGTCGGCGAGAAACTATCTTCAGGTCAACCAAGGTTAAGTTCGCTATGGTTTCCATGATGGAAAAAAATTCTGCCCTGGTCTAAAAACAGAAAGTTTAATAAAGGGGTACCATCTGACAAACAATTCTCAACCAGGTTGCATTTTTAGAGAAGTGGAGGAAATAAAGGGTTAGAGAACACCAGAATGGAATATTCAAGTTGACATACATTCTGTTAGGAGAGATAGGAGATGGCGTCTTGCTAAAAATGTCCATGTCTGGAAAGAGAGGGCGGGGGACAGACGATCTTTCTGAGACTGTGGTAATAAATAAGTAATTGCATGTCTTGATCAGGAGTACATTACAAACATTAGCCATGAAAATACCTTTTTACCTTTGACAGCTGTGTCCACAGCTGTTCTCCTAAATATTTCACCAAAAATCACACAAGTTGCTTTGGCTACTTGAGAATGCATTTCCTCTGCATGTTGGACTGGGTTCTTTAATTTGGCAAAGAGGATGCTGGGGGGGGGGAGCAGTTCACCTTCCTTCCATCATTGATCACAGACTGGAATGCACACCACGAAACAGCAAATGGTGACTCTCAAAAGCAGAAGGTCTTCTGCCTTGAGCGACAAGCTTCGGGATTCTCCCCTCCCGGCTGGGAGGCGAGAACAGTACCAAGTAGACAGCAAACTTGTAAAAGGAATGGCTCCGGGCGAAACAAAGATGGCATGCACGTTAATGGATACTTACGTATATGTCTGCACCATAAAATCCATCCTGGTAAACAACACTGCAAGGGTGCACACACAAAGAAAAACATCCAGGTTAGTGCAGCCCCCCCCCCCCATGCCGCACACCAACCCTGCACGGGCCACGGGAGTCCGCTGGCAGGGCCTGACCCACGCGAGCGTGGAGTCTTCACACTGGTTAAGGAGGCTGGAGACACCGGTGGATCAAACCGAGAAAAGTCGGGTGGGGGTTGGGTGGGGGCCAAGCAGCAGGAAGGGGACTCGGCACCCCTACTTTCTCAGGGGGGCGTGGCCGAAATGCACAGCATCGGATGCAAACACAGCTGAGACTGTGTTTTTCTGAGGCCTGAACAGGAGACCTGAGAGCTTTAGGAAGCTGGAGTCTGTATCCAATCAAAACACAAGATTCTCCCATCCCTGTCCTCCCCGCTCCCAGTTCTGTGATGGAGACTGGGGCACATGTAGTCACTTTGTCACTGGGGGTTACAGATGAATGAATGGTCTCGGAAACTGGGCTGCCCAGAGAGCGAAACATTTTCCTTTAGATATTAGAATATTTGACAATTTTATCCGCCAATCTTTTATGGCAAACATTAGGGAAGAACTCCAATGACATGTATATATGTGTGTGTACTTGTGTTAGTGCATGCATTAGTCATGTTTATGTAGATCAATACATACATGCAATTAGGTGTTTGTGGTTGGGTGACAACGGCTTGATTTTTTTACTCGTCATAATTCTATGTGTCCTTAGGGTTATAGAAACAGGCCTGTCTTCTGTAGAGCTGCTGGATGAGTTCAAACCGGCAACCTCTGGGCTAGCAGCCGAGTGCTTAACTGTCCGTGTTGCCAGGCCTGCCTGCATTTGTGCTCAGGTATGTCTACAGCCGGACACATATGTGTGCATGCATATGTATATGCTTTGTGAGTAAGTGCATGTGTATGAATGTGTAAAGATTTGTTTGCACATCACTTTACATACGTGTGCATGTGTATATATTCCCATGCAACATTCAGACCAAAAAAAGCCCAAAGCACGACTCCACAATTCTAGCTTTAGGTGTATGGCCACCACTTATTGTCCCAGAAACAAGGAACTCCTAGAGAGAATCAAAGGGACAAAAACCCTTTGTCGTTCCCAGAAGCTTCTAGATGCACGTTAGGGGAGGCAGCCAGGATGGGAAGCTCACAGCTCCGTGATTGGGGGACAGGCCTTGAAGTTCCTCATTGGCCATAAGGGGTTAACGAGGACCCGAGGTGGCCGGTGCCCCTCCTTCTGTGAGGTTCACAGACTATCTTGAATATCAAAATGCTTTTTTCCCTTCCCAAAGCTGAGCTTTCCAAGGGTTGGTGGTTGTTATTAACAACCTTCCCATGGAGTTTCCGGATGATTTATGATTCTGGCAAAGGACCAAGGAGCCCCAGTGTTGGATGTGGCTGGGGTTCTAATAGAAGCACAGCTTTGATCACCAAAGGGTTCCAGCAGATGACAGCCACAGAGTGGACCCACATTTAAGCCGAGCGTATTGAGCCAAAGAAAGCTACTTTGCAACACACACACACACACACACACACACACACACACACACACACACACACAGCGGTGACACTGGTTTGCTGGAGAACAAACACTAACAGAGCTTTTCAGAGTTGATTGGCTCAACCCCAAGCCCTATTATCCCTCAAAAGGTGGCAGGGATTTCATACGCTAAGGAGGTTGGTAGCAATAGCTTTCAGCTGTTTTCATTTTGATCCGCCAGGTCTCCAGTTCACAAGAGCCCTTGTTGAACGGCATGAAACCCTAATCCCAGATACTGAGGTGTGCAGGGCTCTGAGCCTGGTTTTGAATCCCCTCTCAGTGTTTCCTGCATAAAAAGAGAGTGCCTGGGGGCCGGGGAACAGGAGTAGGGTCGACCTTTGCCAACAGGACTTGGCGCACAGCTGAGGAGATGGGGGAGAGGAAGAAATAGTTCATTGGGGCCCCCAAACCCAGAACTAATCACTTAGCCAGACCCAAATAGCTGCGTCTCATCCTTTAACACTGCCACCAAGTTGTGTGAGTTCTGAATGCAATTTCCCCCTTTTTCTTCTTCCCAAACACTCTCATCTCAAAACTGATAGCCGTTCAAGAAGCAAGTTAGATGGAGCATATGGGTCAAGTTCAAGGCACCCCAACTAGTAGCTATGGGCTTGTGATCCAACAGCTAGGCTCTCTGAGCTTCATTTACTCTTATGTGCAATGGAGGAGAAGGGTAGCGGGTGGCCCCAACTTGATATGAGGGTGTAAAATGACGAGCAGTGTCCATGGCAGAAAGGAGGTGCCCACAGAAAGGGAGTCAGTGCTGTGCAACCAGACCCCTCCTCTGGGGACCTCCTGTGTATCAGGTTAGAACTGAGCCTCACTTGCTGATTCAGGGGTGTCTACCGCAAACTCTAAGCAGCCCTGATGGTACAACTATTGAGCACAGAACTCTTAAACCAATAGCTGTTAGGTTCAGCTCAGCATATGAGAAAGGCCTGGTTATCTGCTGGGGAAGACACCTCCCCTCAAACAAAAAACAACTCACTGCTGATTCTGACTCTTAATCAACTGGGACCCTCCATGAGGCTTCCAAGGCTGCCCACCTTTCTCCCCATGAGCCACCAATGGGAACATAGGGCCTTTCAGTCAGCAGGTTACACTATGGACTATGGATTACACTAAAGCTTAGGGAATCTTTTAGACCATTGTTTGCTGTCACATGGGGTCCCTATGAGTCAAAATAGACTGGGTGGCACGAAACTACATTATAAATGACATCTATATGCATCTGAAGTGCTCAGCCACGGACCAATCCACCAGCTGGCCCGTTCGAACAAGACGAGGCAGTCTGCTGCTATAATAAAGATCACGACCAGGAAACCCTAGGGGTCGGGTCTACTGTATCCTGTGGGGTTGATACAAATCAAGACGGACTCTCAATGGCCCCGAGTTTCATTTGGTTTTTTAAATAGTGTTTGTTCATATCAGAAGGGTGAGAAATTTACCTTCATAATCACCCTGAAAAACCAAGGACTCAGTATGGTCACTCCTTGTTTCCAGGAGAAAGAGAAGCCGCTAATGGAGCTACCAGTTGACCCACAAGTGTGGATTTTCCCCCCTCCTATACTCGAAAGTGAACCCAATTCCTACCACCGCTCTCACTTCTAAGGCAATTAGTATGTGTCAGCTTGAAGCCTAAGCATTCTGTGCTCATTATTCCATTTAATCCTCTTAATGCCTTTAAGAGATGGATAATATTATTATCGCCTCTTTAGAGATGAAGCAGAGAGAGCTCAGTGTTGACCAGGCTGGGATTCCAGCGCTGGGTGGTAGGGGACCACAGCCCAAGACTTAGAATATTAATAGAGCAGGCTGTTTGTGGTCAGACTTGAGTGTCAAGCTGGACCCCTTTGGACAACTTGCTGAGATGCTCATGGACTCCAGAGAGTCTGATTCAATAAATCTGAATGTGGAGAGCAGCAACTGAGAATTTACATTTCCAGGAAGGGCCAGGTAATTCTGAGGCTGCTGAGTTGAGGGCTGTCACTACCCTAGTTGTCCTGGAGCTGAATCTGATTCAGGGAGACCCCCGCAAGTGTTAGATAGGGTTTTCAATGGCTGATTGTTTTTCTAGGTTTAGATCATCAGGCCCGACTTCCAACGTGTCTCTGAGGGGGCTTGAACTTCCGACCTTCTGGTTAGCAGCTGAATACATTGACTCTACCACCGAGGGAATGGCTTGCCGTCTAGTAGACATCAACTCTGGAGACCCCAGATTCGTTAGAGTAGAACTGAGCCCCACAGGGTGTCCAACGACTGATGATATGCCTCGTGTTTTCATGGGATTTGGGTGAATGTCTATAAGGGACATGAGCTTTCCATTCAGCAATCTGTACATGTTTTGTGACACTGACCACAGTCCCAATGCTAAGGACTCATCCTTGGGTTCGCCTATCCATCTCTGTGGCCTCTCCCTTCCAGCCTTTTGAGACTTATCCTTGGGTAAATGCTAGCATGGTCAGTTATTCCATGGAGTGTGTGTTATTAATCACCTTATAAGCCTGGCTGATTTTATTTTTGCTGGGGTGGGAGGGGAGGAAGAGACTCTCCCATCTCTTGGTGAGCAAACGGGCACATTAACCATTTGCACTGCCCAGGGACTCCCAAGTCCAAAGAGTACTCATTTGGAGAATCAATCCTCTATAGAAACACCATCTCCCAAGTGAGATTTTACTTTATACTGGCAACAAACTCAACAGCCAGCCACCTAAGCATAATAAAACTCTTCTATTGAGTCCTCAGGGTAGTTTCCAAGAATGCCCAAACGTTTTTGTTAGGTCCAAAGAAATGGTGGGACTTAATGCATCAGCTCTGTAGGGAGAGGAGGGCTCAGGGTTCGATGGCCCGTTTGCAGCTCTAGCTACTTGAATCACAGCTGCCTTGTAAGAGGAAGGAGCGGAGGTCACGCACTGAACAGGTGAGGACCGATTCTAATGCAGAGACTGTCTACCTAGTCACGCGAAGGTAATTGTCTTGCTTGTCAATCACGCTGGGACTGCAATATGCTTTCGCAAGAACATAATGCAAATGCACATTTCATTTTCTTAGAAAAGTAATAACAGTGGTTAAATATTTGGATGGATGCAGGTAGGGGATGAATGCACTAGAGCAAATTAGTTTACTTCTAAAAAAAAAAAAGGAAAGAAAGCAGCATAGGATGCCCATAAACTATACAATCTGTTTGTGTACTGTAATATAGACTAGCCACAAATATATTCTTGAAGCAAAGTCTATTTGAAACTGCTCTATCCTGCTGGCTGTCCCATCCAACTGGAAATCCAATTAAATTTTTTAATGGGTTCAAATCTAGCTGGTTTTGAATGGTCATCAGGTGGGTCCATGAATGTATTGATATTTGTATAGTCTTGTGTGTGTGTACATATACACAGTATCTTTTGGGTTGTTTCTTTCTAACAGAAAATTCATACTGCTGATCAGATTCTTGGAGATCATGCTTGGAAAGGTGGACAGTGCAGGAGAGGAAGACCCTGGATGAGATGGATTTACACAGTAACTGGAGTAATGGGGGTAAGTAAGTGTGTTGGAATCCGTGACACTGGCTTAGAATAGGACAGGGTTCGGAGATGTTGTACATAGGGTGGCTATGAGTTGCAGGAAACTTGATAGCACATGACAACATAACAACAATCAAATTCTTAAAGGTACTGTACCTCTCAAAAAAAGAGCTACATTCTAAAAATGCACCCAGGCTTCCTGAGGACATGTCACAACATCTAAGAATGTGAAGAAGAAAACATACCGTGTTGTTGTTGTTGATTGCCGTTGAGTTGCGTGACTCTATGAGCAAAAGACCTAATGCCTTTCCACAACTATCTTCATTTCTCCAAGTTCATAGTTTCTGGAGGCATGTGGCTTAGGAAGTGGATGCCACTCCTGCATCCACAGACAAATGCAAAACTAGGGAGAAATTTAGAAAACATTCGGAGAACAATGATGCTGGTTCTCGTCCTCGTGTGTATTTGTGTGAAATAAGAAAGCACCCTGGTGGCAACAGTTAAGTGCTAAGCTGCCAGCAGAAAAGTTGGCAGTTTGAATCCACTCAGAGGCTCGATGGAACATAAACCGAAGCTCTGCATGAGTAAGGATTTTCAGCCAAGAAAATTGTAGGGGGCTCTCCTGCTTTGTCACATGGGGCCACGCTGAGACAGGATCCACGCACCAGTATACAATGTCAACAGCGTACTAAATGAGCATGTTCTTAAGCATCAGATAACACTGGCTGGGAGTCAGATCAAGAAGTTGATTCCAAAAAGCCTGATTGACGCAGATACGGAAAGAGACAGAGACCTGGGCTCAGAAGCTGCCATAAGAGGCTTTGTCAGGATCAAACCTGGAAACCTTCCCAAAGGATCCATCTGTGGCATCTTGACACTGGCCGTCTCGGGGGGAAAATCTCCCTGGGATTTTATATCAGGCATCTTAACATTGGCCAGCCTGGGGGGAAATCCCCTTAGGATTTACTATCCTCTTTCTTGTGTCAAAATTGGCAAGGTCTACTAAAAATAGTTCCTAAGATAATGATGGGCAGTTGGAGAGACATGTTATTGTTAATCCCTTGATGAAGTTCAGAGCATCAAGTGCAAAGATACTCTGAGAACCAAGACCGAAATGCTGTAGCTGATGTCCCCACTCAACTGTTCAAATGAAATTCACCTACAATGCTGGGTTCCTACCACCGGGGAGCCACATACCCTAAGGAGTTTCTAACGCAAGGACACACCTAGGCAGCTAGCTTCTCTCACCCTGGCACTTAGTTCTTACAGATGCGTGTGTATCCCCCACCCTTCTGCTCAGCTGTCCTTCTGAGTGTCACTCCTCTTCAGAGCTCTTTTCCCTAACTGTGATTCTGACATTCCAGTTTAAGAGACACAGTCCCCAACCAATTAAAGCCTACCTTTTGGAGAAGTGCATGGCTAGGATATTAAAATGAAACTATATTCAAGGCAATCACAAACACATCGCTGTACCACATGGAGAGAGAGGATTTTCTTCTTGGTGAACAAGGCATTTGTTAGTTACACATGGTTATTCTTGACAGTTCACTCGAAGTTATTCTTGTGTGTTCACTCAAAGTTAGAACATTTAGATTTTACTGAAGGTGTCTTATTCTGTGAGTTTTAGAAATGCTTCAGGTGAAGATAAGCCTTATGAAGTTTACCTCACTATTACTTTTTTCTTATATACAGTATAACAGATACTAAGGATATATATATAGGTGGATCTATCTACATATGTAAATACAGAAAATCTACAACTACTAGCTATCAAGACAGTAGCACTCAGACAAACTAACTTGGTAAGTAACATGTCATTTTGCACATATAGCTTATGTAGTAATCACATGTGTCTAGAAGGTGTCTCTGCTGGATTTCCCCCTTCATAACTTGTAATGTGACACAGAGAACAGCAAATCTTTATTTCTGCATTTCACATTCTAGAAAACAGGCTCAATAGGCAGTAACTGGGAAAATAAGAGCACTGCATTATCTAAGTTCCTTCATACACAACGAAACCCAGATGCACTTAGGGGGAAAGGGGACTAGGCAGGGTCAGTTCCTCCTCAGTTTATTATCAACTATCTTTTCCGTTAAAACATATTTGGTGATTGTTTTGTTCAACACTAAGAAATTCAGTGTAGACTCAACTCTAGTGTCTATACAAGGAACTCAGTGGGTGTGGCCTTATTTCCTCATCTTCCTGTTCTCTTTCCGATGATTATATCTAGTACTGTGTCCTTACATTCTTAGCTTTGCTTTACGGCATGCATTTTTTAAAACACCGCAATGGCCCTACTTTGGAGTGGACGAGGATATGCATACATGACAGGAAACAAAGTGTTTTCTTTGGTCCTTTGTAAAACAGAGGTGATTCAGGCAAATTTAGGTTTTCTAAAAGATTTATGAGTAACAAAATTAAAAGAAAATGATGTGTTTAGCCCCCTCTAAGTGGTCTAACTCCTATCACATTTTTTTCTAGGCCAGAAAGCCAGAGAAATCGCATAGCAGGTCGCCTTGGGCACAGATAGGCACAGGGCTCCATACTGTGGACATGTGGATCTCTATCATTCGTGTTTTGAAGGCTGTCCACTATATTGAAGGACACGGAGCAACATCCCTGGCCTCTACCAACTAGATGCCTGTAACTCATCCCTGAGCTGTGATAATTAGAAACGTCTTGTGGGACACAGTCACTCTGGAAGAATACCCCAATTTAGAGACATTTCTGATCTCTCTGGCCCCAGAGATTCTGGAATGTTCTACTGCCTTCCCTAAGAGCAAGGAAGAGAGGTGTTTCAGGATTACAGCTGACCACACTAGTAGGCTTAGGGGAGGAAACCCCAGACACGGCGGTGATTGGGAGAATGGTGCAGGACAGGACAGATACTGTCCACACAGGATCACTGTAAGACAGAGCCTTGATATCCACATAGCAACCCTAGTTTCTATATAGAGAAAGAATAAACCCACAGCAGGGGAACAACTTAATGCTGAGTTTCCCCCCAACGGTGGCAAAGGCTAAGTCAGGAAAAAACCACCTAAAACGAAATCTTCATTCTAATGTCATTGAACTCCTGAGTGTTTGCAATTGACACAACCCCTAATTTTCTCTTCTTAGTGAAAGGTTCATAAACCTTACAAGGAAGGATGTCTTGTCTTTTTTTTCTTTTGAGGGGGAGGGCAGTGATGCCACCCAGTGATTTTTGTGTTTTAAAACTTCAGCCAGTAGGCAAACTGGGGTCCCAAATGTGATCCAACCTCCTTAATAACCAGATGTTTGCAACCATCAGGAATACAACTTGGGCTGTAACCGTTTCTCTGTTCTCCAGCATACAGTCTCAGAGAGAATTTACATAACGACATGTGACATGTAGAATGCTTAAAGGCACCAACCATGACAGGACAAATTACACTCATTTTTCAAGACTCTTTTTGCAAGGTGCTTGCTGCACGCCAGGCGCGCGGAGAGGCTGCATGCTGGGGCGGTCCTGGGAGGGGGTGGGTGTCAAGACCAGCATGCACACTGGCAAACAGCTCTGTGCCTCGGGGATGGGAGAGAGGTGCAGGAGGGTCCCCCCAGCCTGAGCAGGGGCACTTACCCGCCGTAGGCCGGGATAGGGGGCGGAGGCGCCGCGGCCCTGAAGGTGTTGTACACGGTGCGGCCACGGCCACGCAGGTGCGCGCCTCGGTAGGCTGCTGCAGCGGTGGCGGCGGGATACGGGAAGCCGGGCACTGTGGGGACAGAGAAGACAGAGAACAGCCGGTCACATGTGCACCTGCCAGGGCGGTACCCGCTCTAGGACCCCTTTCTCCTGGCAGGATCAAGGCCAAGGACGCCCCCTGTGCCTTTTCCATAAATCTGAAGGTGCGCAGCAAGGTGGAAGTCAAGGTTCCCTTCCCAAGAAGTGGTCTGGTTAAAATCACAGTACTGCTACCTGAGAGAATAACATAAATAACAGGATTGCAAAGAATTTTCAGCAGGAGGAAAAGCTCATTGCCAAATACTTAAAAGTATATGTGTGCTTACACATGTCTGTGTCTGCTCTCCTTCATGTTCTTCATATACGTGTGTGTTCAAATGTGCATATATGTAAAAAAAAATAGTAAAAAAATGTGCATATATGTGTGTGTGTGTCCCTGGTGGTCAAAACGCTGGTGCTCTCAGCCGCCAGCCAAGGTCACCTGAGAACACCCGGAGGTACCATGGAACAGAGCCCTAGTGGTGATCTACTTCTGAAAAGTCAGCCATTGAAAACTGTTAAGAGCACATATCAGCACTGACAGACATGGGGTCGTCGCCCCAGCGCCACCACAGTTTAGTTTGTGTGTCTGATCCAAATGAGAAGCAAGTGGATTTGAACCACGGACCTTATGGTTAGCACTGAAATATGTTCAGAGCTCCATTACCTAGCTCACCTAGTACACTCAAAGGGTCCAAGAGCATTTTCTTTTACAGAACATCTAACCTCTTCCCCGGGTACTGTGGTGCTGTCAGAACCGACTCATAGCTGGCTCTCCAGCAGGTTCTCAGAGGCTGTGAACATCATGGGAGGAGACTGCCCATCTTTCTCCCACAGGACAGTTGGTAGATTCAAATCACTTGCCTCTGGATTGGCAGCACAGCTCTTAAATCACCAGAGCCACCTAGGAATCAGGTTTGAAGAAAGGAGAATACATAACCTGTTCTGTTTTTCTCTTGTGAATCTGTTTAGGATGGCCTCTCGTGTCTTGAGGGGGGACACGTATGGAACGCTCGGGGCTCTTATGGCTTTCTTCCCATCCCAAGTGGGTGTCAGCAGATGAGACTTGCCAGATCAATTGGGGGTCTCTGGCCCCAGAGTCTGCCAACATTTGGCCATGCCGGAATTTTAAAATATCGAAATGCTTGGCAACGCCTGCAAGCTGAGGGCTAGTATGTTAGGAATCGGTTTAAGCTGCGTCTTAGAATGCTGAACACTGTGACACTAATGTGAGAATGGTTACCCATGGTGGACAGTGTTTGGTGGAGCTCCCTGATTAAAACAAGCTTGGAAGCAGGCATGGCATCCACTTCTAAAAGAGTTTGCCTCCAGAAACCCTATGAACCTGGAGGAATGATAAAAGTTATACAAGTTTCCAAGTCTTTCATTCATAGGGTCACCATGAGTTGCCTACAACTCAACGGCACTTAACAACAAGAACAACAACAACACAACTACAAATAAGCCCTTACAGTGGAGTCCCTAACGTATCAGGTTGCTAACCAAAAGACCAATAGGTCCAATTTACCAGGAAGAGAAACTGACAGCCTCCTCCCATAATATTTTAAATTCTGGGTCACTTGATGGGAGGTCATTATGAGCAAACCTACTCAGCAGCCATGGGTTTGGTCTGGATCCAGCCGAAAGCCCCTCGAGGGTTCTCTAATCTGCCTTTGAATCTTTCCAGGCATGCCTTTCTGACATCACTGAACACCAAGCTTCTATTCATTGACAGCTTTCTAAACAGGCCTGAGCTGACACCACAATAAACACATGACAATTCAAAGACAAGGAAAAGCAAATGAAGGTGTTGGTGTGGTCAGATCAAATACTGACAGACCATTTAATAAATGTTCCTCCCTTATTCTGGTCTCATTCCTCACTCTGCTTTCCCTTTCCTAACAGGAATTTGAAGGATGGCCAGAGAAATGGAGAAAGAGGAATTAAACGAGTGGGGTGGGGTGGTTTTCTGTCTCCCTTCCTGGCTCAACTCTGTTCCATCTTTCCCGCTTTGTAACCAACTGTCTGCGTGTAGAAGCACTTGGCCCCATGTCATCTCATCACCTGGAGAGTTTTTTTCCTTCCACAACAATGCAGGGACTCAGGGGAGGGGTGAAAGAAGAGCAAAGGGCTAATAATGACCTTGGAGGAGAAAAAGAAAAGGATCATGTGAGATCTTAGGAAATTGTTGCTTGCTACACGGTGTACTTTGAGAAATGATGATAGTTATAGAAAGGCTTCAGGTCTTTTGTTCATAGGGTTGCTATGAGTCGTGCTCGACTCAATGGCAATCAACAACACCACAATACTCTATTAGGATACAGTATTAATAAAGGTACCTTGATGGCACAATGATTAGGTGCTTGATTGCTAACCAAAAAAGCTGACTATTTGAACGCACCAGCTCCTCTACTAGATTAGTGGACAACATGAGGAGTCACATAGGAAATTTAGAGGGTGGGGACAGCAAATTTATGTGCCTGGGGTAAGAATAATCCAGGAAAGGAGTGTAAGAAGGCTGCACAATCGATACCCTGATTTGTACAGGGAGAGACTGAACTGTACAGGGAGAAAATGAACACGTGACTGGGGTGATTGGGGTAGATGTGTCAGATACAAGATTGGCACAAGTTGGGTTTGGGGCTATTGTACTTAAGGTCGCTATGAGTCACAGGCAACTCAAGGGCACATTACAACAACAACAACAACACGTCCTGCTGTGTGTAGTTTTCAACAACACGCCAAAACACAATGAACTCAGTGCTGTCGAGTTGGACTTGGTTCAGAGCCGACCCTCCAGCTACTTTCTGAGCCTTGTAACCACACGGGAGGTGACTGCTCACCTTTCTTTTAAGGACCCACGCGTGGATTCAAACTCCCTTCAGGGAAGCAGCCTAACTGCTTTTGGGCTACCCCACCAAAGCTCCTGATCAACAACAAAGTAAAATCATGAAAACAACAACAATGGGTTACAACCAAGAAAACCCACAGGGCGCATCACTCTGTAAAAGATGAGGCTGTCAGAGTGGGAATGGTTGCCTCTTCATCTGTGGTCACTGTGTGTTTATATGTGGCTGAGCATTTTATTGCTAACTGAAGGATCAGTGGTTAGAGCCCATCAGCTGCTCCCCAGGAGAAAGGGAGCTGTCTGTTCCCAAGGAGATAAGATGATTCGGCAACCCCGGGGGACCAGTCTATTCTAGGGTTGTTCTGAGTTGGAATGGACTCTGTGACTTGGATTGGTTCTGTTTATTTGCTGGGTGGCATAGTTTGGAAAAAAGGAGGCTGGGGCTGGGTTTGTCATGGAAGCCATTCTGGATTCCCCAGGTGGAAAGGTGTGTGGGTTGAGATAGAAATGAAGACTGTGTGGCTCCTAATTGGACTTTGGTAGGGTTCTTGAAGGATGAACAGCTAGTCTGTTTTATGGGACTCTGCCATGTCTTTCACTTGTTATGCATCAGAGAGTTGGACTGACAAAGGAGGATAGAAGGAGAATTGATGCCTTTGAGCTGTGGTGCTGGAGAAGAGTATTGAGAGTACCATGGACTACTAGGAAAACAAACAGATTTGTCCTGGAAAGGGTTAAACTGGGTGGCTCCTTGGAGGCAAGGATTCTGAGGCTCCATCTAACATACTTTGGACATGTTGTAAGGAGGGACCGGTCCTTAGAGAAGGACATCATGCTTGGTAGGGTGGAGGGACAGCGCAGGAGAAGAAGGCCCTCTATGAGGTGGATTGATTCAGTGACTGGGATAATTGGGATGGGAATGTCAGAGACAGTGCGATTGGCACAGGACAGAGCAGAGTTTAGGGCTGCTGTACATAGGGTCGCTATGAGTCGCAAGCGACTCGACGGCACATAATAACAACAACAACAAGAACAACAACCATGTCTTTCATTCACGATGAAGACAAATGCTAGACTTGCAAAAACCAAGACAGGATGACCATATCTGTTTTTTAAATGAGAAGCCCAGAAAGGTTATTTTTAACCTTTTTTTTTTAAAAAAAATGGTTGTTGAATAGAAATTGTGTCGTTTTATTTAACTCTCAGCCCTCCAGCCTCTACCACCAATGCTCCCTGTGTATGCTTTCTTTACCAAGTGCGCGTACCATTAACTTGGGGAGGCTTGTGTATCTTAAACAGAGACGGTGGATAAAAACCTAATATGCTAGCAACCCCAAAGGAATGAGAGGGGAGATGCTTATTTCAGGATTAGGAGGGTGATGAGTGAGGATGGTTTGCTCCTGTTCAAGCGTTACGTTTTCCCCAGGAACGCCCAGGGTTTTAGCAAGAAGGGAAATGAAAAATCTCCAATCTGGTGGAGCAGCTGGCTGCCTGTGTGAGGAAGCACAGTAATTATGCTGACCCATCCGTTATCGCCAGCGTGAGCGAGACAAGATCCTGCTCGGCGACAAGCAGGTTTTACAATAATTCTTGGAGGATTTAGATGGGGAGATACAACATGAAACAGAAGCTGAGCCCCAGCACACGGGGAGCACGCTCTGCTGGAAGTCCAGAGCCCAGAGTTCCTTGGAAACCCATTTGGTCCGAAGGAGATAATGTCTTTCCTGATATGGGATCAGAGGTTTGGGACACTACCATAGAACTCCTGAGGTGCCTGGAGACCTTTAGCTGGCCCCACAAAGCAAATTCTTTCCGAGGCCACAAATCAGTTTCTGGTTTTAAATAGCACCTTCCAAGGGAGGCAAATACCCTCAGGCACAACAAGGAGGCTTGGCAGGTCAATGCTGGAGCAGAGGTAAAAAGAATCCAGGTGTCGCAGCTGGGTAGCTGCCCGGTTGTGTCTTTTGTGCGGATGGTCTACACTGGGCCCTGGGCCCCCTTGGAAAGTCTACGTAAGCGTCATGGTGGATGTGCATTTCCAGCCTTTTTTCCTCCTTTTCTCTTTTCTTCTCTTCCTTTATTTCCATTTCTTTTTTCCTTCTTCCCCATTTCTCCCTCTCCTTCCCCCTCCCCTCATCCCTTCT